TTTCAGTTTTCCTTCCACAACATTGATGTGAGAAGCCAGTGCCATTATATATACCAGCAAGAGTTGTGGGTTGTGCAGCTTGGATGACTGTACAGATGTCAACTACTAAAACAAGGATAGGATGTTCCAAATATATCAAAGGACCATGCAACATCTGGAGTACTAGTACGTAGGAAATAGCGTTCAGCACTAATTGTGCGTATTGTGAAGGATGACTGTACAGATGTCAACTACTAAAACAAGGATCAGATGTTCCAAATATATCAAAGGACCATGCAACATCTGGAGTACTAGTACGTAGGAAATAGCGTTCAGCACTAATTGTGCGGTATTGTGAAGAGCCTCCTATCTAGAGAAGATACGCACTACGGGTTCCATCCGAACAATCCAGTCAGTGTCAGATGACGCCTTTCAATCGAGTTTTAGCAGGAGACCAGTGTCTATATTACTGCTCCCGAATCCTAGAGTTATGACGTCATTCGACCGGATGAAATTGGTAATAATGAGTAGTAAGACATCACGAATATATTTGTTCAGTAAACACGTGTCTCAAGATATGGAGGAACGGGATTTTGTCTAGATTTTTCTCATTATGGCTACAAAACATCTCGTTGCTTAGGAACCTGCCTCTGAGCATTTTTCGGTTTGCCGTGAACCTTATTAAGGTGCACGTTGAGGCTGCTCGATTGGCTGAATGGCCGTCCACATATATGACAAACGTATGCCTTTTCGTTTGTGTGAACGCGCATATGGATTTCTTTTGTTTTTCGGCATGATGACCGTCTCCCACATATTTCACATACATGTTTTGCCACGCTGTCCTCCGTTTCCTTGTCTGGATGGGCGACCTGTTTGTGGATCTTCAAGGACGATTCGTATTTAAACTGTTTGGTACAACAATCGCACAGATAGTTTTTCGACTTCGTATTAACCCCAGCATGACGCCGCAAGTGAGCGGCAGCTAGAAACGATTTCCCACATAAGTTGCAGGTGTATGGTTGTGCTTCCCGCCGATACATGTTGGTCACAAGCGGTGTATTTGTATTCTGTCCGATTGGGAGATGATTGTTGGTCTGACCGGTGCCATTTTGCTGAGACGGAAATGAAGTAGTATCTATATCTTTGAAAGATACATTGAAAAGATGCAAGGTCAGATGTGTGGGACATATAAATGGACAGTGAGCTAACCATTTCCGTGAGAAGTTAGAAGACTATTGTCGTTCATTAGGATGAAGGCTTTGCCGTGTGCAAAGTCTGGTAAAAGTAACCTCAAAGTGAGATAATGGTTGTGAACTGCGCATTTCTATATTGCACAACTGTGAATTAGATATCTTTGGTGAAACGGTAGGTGTGTTCTTCCGTATTCACAGAATAATGGATCATTCACGTGCATGGACAAAGGTTAGTGATAGGGCAAAGCGCATTGAGTAAGCATCGCACTTGATTCGATTAGAATGAAAGCGGAGATGGAGTGAATACTGTGCAATTTTTGGTTCACTCTAAACACTTCACATTGAAACATATAGTAGGTAGAGTTATTCACAAGGCAAAACGCGTTCCAGTTCGCATTTTGAGCCCTCATTGCTTAATCAATGCTGCCAAGGTGACCAGGAGTTACGTCCACTAACCACAACTGGTAACGACTTTAAATGATTCGAATGCGCGTTTGTGGTTATTCGAAGAACTCAGTATCTGGTACGAGAGCCGGCTTTGCATTCCATGGGTGATTCACCATCTAATTTGTTGGCTTGATGAGGGCTGAAGGCAATTTATGCAACGAACTAAAGGTCTACTTATCTGTTAGTAAATTCATCAGGACAGAACCCAATATTGTCAACGGTTTATGAACATCTAATGTGACCACGTCGCTCACACTATCAAGTTTGAACCCAGTAGCACAGCTCCGTCTAAATTATTCTCAACAAAAACGAAGTACAGTTAAGATTTTCTTGTCCGCGTGGACAGTATGATAAAATCAGCTTGCGCACTATTATTTCGTGGATAATCTACCATTTTTATTGCAATCTGACACTTTTCTAACGATATTAAACTTTGCACTTCCGATTTGCATCAGGTCAGATGAGAGAATTTAACAATGGCTCCTCATGATACAGTTGATATTCCGTTGGTACGTGAACATCATCATTTACTTTTTGATAGGATGTGAAATTGCTTTGAGCAGTAAATCATTTCCCTGCTGAGCAGCAGATTCTCATCCATTTCTTGGAGTTACCAAACCAAGCTCGAAATCAAACACACGTTTATAGCGAATTCTTGTCCGAGAAACTCCCTGCGATGGGAATTCCTTTCATTTGTGCGACTCAATGATGTGTGTGATCTTCAATTTGTTTGGTGAAGGGTTTTAAAAACTCGGCCGCTTCTCGCCCAGTTGTGTAGATCAAGAGGTCAGGAAGCGTCCTGTCTGAATAGTTGGTATGGACCTCTGGTGCACTTGCCAATTTACGGCTTCCTGGTGCTTGCCTACTTTTTGATAATCAGTGAGAATCGGGAAGACTCCAACCACCAGCAGTCTGCTGACGTAAAAATCTAAATGCATCAATAATTGTTGGTGTCTCGCCGAGGTTCACACATGGATCGCGGACTTTTTATCGCCAGTCGGGTTGACAACAGTAGAGTATTGTTTGGTGGGTGAATTTGACCTCTTCGTCCTGTAGTTAGGTAGTCTATAAACAGCACCAAATTAACCTAGCTTAACTGGTCACTTCTTAGTTGACTTTTGGACAGTTACATTGTTAAACTTAGAATCTGATTTGCTTTCTTCCTTACATCTGGTATGTACATCGGCTTGTTTGTTAAAATATTATGAATTCCCTGTTTTTGAGAAACTTCTGAAGTACAAGTTAACCTTCGATTATGCTGTATTCGAGAATTTTTGTCCACGGCCATTTAGCTACCAGATGAAGTCAACTTCGGTTTGATTTAATGTAGTACATTTGGCAGCCACCTGGCTGGTCGGGTGCCAAAGAGGGGTCGAAGGTTGGCGTCAAACAGAGAATAGTATTGCGATGAAATTCATTATGGGGGTTGAGACGTGTGGTTTTATGGTACCAATGGTGGTCCCAAGATTAGTCCGGCTGGTGATCAATGAGGAGCATTAGTATATGGTTTGACGCACTCATGCGCGCACGGAACGAGCCTCTTGGAATGTTCTTACCGATCACAAAAAATCGGTAATAGATAACCAAGTTAGTTATCCTTAAACGCATTTGGGCTACCAACATTTTAACTGCTTGCAAACCTCAGACATTCTGTCTGTTATTGAGCCTTGATCGTGCAATCCGTTGGATTTAGTGACACACATCCGGATAAGTTAAGTAAATTACCCTGCGGGGTACTTCGTGGCACGCGAAAGTGCTTCGGGATTGTGATAGTCTGCTTTGAAAAGCGGTAACTTTTTGACTGACTTAGTGACATCTGTGTCATCTTTGGTTGGCCATTTCATACCAGCAAATCCGTTGTGTAAAAACTTTGCGCGATTTTCTAAAACATTCTTCGCCTAATGGGATTTTGAGTATACATACACATATTATTCCCAAACACGTATATTAATTGTCTGCTTTCTATTTTTGTTAGATTGAAAAAAGTACACTTTGAAAATTCTTTTTAAAATTCCATAGGACCCCATCATCTCTCTCACCGTTTGATTTGCGGGCTCTTGATTTACATCGTGCCCAGTGAACTCCTAACGAACAGCAAGGAGGCAAGTAGTCCTCTGATAACTTATTACGGCTTCGCGATGGTCGACTCAGAATTTATAATCCCTATATTTCGGTCAAAAGTGCAAATCATTCCAATAATGCCATACATGTTAACTTACGACCAGGTGAGTACATATTTAGGAGAGTGTTCAGCATGTCCACTAGAAGTAGAGAAATCCAGAAAAGTCCCTTTGAGGGGTAAACAAAAAATATGACTGATTTGCTGCGTGAAGTGGCTACATTCGAAGTGTACTTCCTCAAGGAAAAGTTATTTTTTAAATTTGTATCAATATTCCAAATTTATAGTAATTATACATGTTAACAAATCTATCAGTGTTTCTTTCAAATAAACGAAAATGATTTTGTTACCGTCATGCTCACCATTTTGGATAGCCTGAATATTTGGTACCTGATGCAAGAAAATTGCTAGAATGCTACAGAGAAAAAGCATACCCGCTGCTTGTCTCGACCTACCTACAAGATTGAAATTGCGAACTTTGTTTCAAGGTTTTTATACCTAATAAGCGACACAGCTGGATCGATTTGATTCCGTCTCGTGGGGTCCGTAGGTTTACATTGGTTGCGATGACGCCCAATCACATTGGTCATCTAATACCTTTTCTTTTAAACCCTCCTCAGCCTAATAGTTTTTGTAAAATATCTTGATCAAGGCGAAACCTAGCTCCAAGTTACCTGCAGGCATTACTCAGCTTATTTCAGTATCGCGTTCTGTGCTGAAAAACCACCTTACTTACAGTTAATACATAAACATGGACGAAACCCTCTCTGGTCCCCGGGCCATAGTTTACCTCTTCAATCGTTGGAGTCTGCAGATGTGCAGTTGGTTCAGTGAGGCACAAAAATTCTCAGTTTGTCAGTATAAAGTAGCTTCACCTAACTGAGGAAAATACAAAACTGAATAACCTCCTTGTCAATGATCAGTGAAGCAATCTAGTCCACTTCAGTGATACGCAAAAGGCTTCAATTATTGACAGTTTAGATCTGTGAACTTTAACACTATCACAGTAGATTATGCAGGCCTTGAGAAATCTTGTTAATACTCAAGTAAGAAGCAATCGAGTTTTCCACTGTCATTAAAAACAACTTGGATGTTCCAGTTTGGGTTAAAATCTTTGTACATAAAACCGCTTATTCCTGAAGGGCATGGTTGGGCCAACGAAATACTTAAGTCATATATATATATATATATATATATATATATACATGTATATATCCGTTTCCCTCTGTAAACCAAACGGACTGAAGTCGTCGGATGAGCTTGAATTGACCTGTGTAAGCCGTCAACAAATATGAAGATTGTGACATAAAATATACACCGGCTTCATGCGTCAATTATACATAGATGTATATAATATGACTGCCATCGTTGTTACATAATACCCTCGTTCTTGAAGATAGACGGGAATTTGAGCGGAACTGCTCAAAGCTACTGCGATGGCCGCCTTAGTTGGCCGATAGTATCAACTAGCAAACAACACGCAAAGGAAAGATAAATGAGCATTTGATTCAAAATCGCATAAATGTTGGCACAATATGGACTGGGAGACGGAATCATGCGATCGATAGTTATGGCTGTTTGGGAATTTATGTATGGCATAATGTGTCGGTGAAAACCACGTCAAAAGAACTATGGAACGTGCTTTATTCCAAGTCGTTCAATTTACTGAACATCAGAAAATTAATCCGCGGAAGCCCTTTGATCACACAATTCGGCTAGTCAGCAGTGGATTGAAATAATGAAATGCATCTGAATCGAACGGCAAATATTCTGTTCTGCAGCCGGAGCATATCCGGCAAAAGATCTCTTTGACTTTTGTGTGGAATATAATCGAAGTTCGCTTCCACGGCGCGCATTAGGAATTACCAAAATCTACGAGGCTCGGACTGAAAATTCACTACTGATTTCACTGATGGCAAATTCGACGGCGTATGCTAGTCAGACTCGAATTAGTTCTATGTGTTTCAGTCCCACATGCAGCTCCTTGATGTGGAAAGTTAGTAAGTAAATCAAGTATCCATCAGACGTGACCTTTTAATCAGACTTGGTTTCTCCGGTCCATCTTCCGACATTCGATATATCTCACTTTCGTAATTTTCAAAACCCTTGTTTCATGCATTTTCGCACGCACGAATTATCGGACGACATTTACATATTTTGGATAAACGATAACGTGTTCCGGTAATCCAACTCCCCCCTTAAAGTTGAAGTCGTCAAAGAAAGTCACTTGTCGACCTTCATAAATTCATTCTGTGTATGCATCGGATTCAAGGTTATAAACAAAAGTACGCGAATATCACCCATATGTCCAGGAATTTTACAACTTAATTAAAGAGTTTAACTGTTCAACTAGCCCATCCAAAATTGACTTCCTCACGTTGTTTTTTTATTAGGTGAATTATTCATGATAATCGTGTTTGCAGTATTTGTGCTTCCAATAAATAATCAGTTTCATGAGAAATTTCAGGAAGGGTAAAAATTTGTCACAGAAGACTGTCGGGAATATGAAATCCACTAAGCACGTGTGGGCCAAGCGATCAAATCTATTGTTCATAGCTGCAGGATCACACATGGTGCTGGCCAAAGGTGCTCAGCTATCGGGATTTGAAGGGTTGTGAAATTCCGTATGAGCGTGGTGTGAATGACACAGGAAACAATATCGATGAGTAGAAGAGAGTCAACTTCAATGAAAGTAGATGAAGTGCAGGTCCTGCAGGGAAGACAATTTGATTTTGTCAGTGTTCCGAAGTGCAACTGATCACAACTTGGCTCCAGTTTTTATCGTGACACATATGGGACGGCCGATAACTATTCTTGTTCCATCGCGCAGACATTTTGAATTCTTATTCATGTTCGGCGTTTTTTAGCTTACATTTTTACTGCTCATATCCGGAAAGATAGTCAGATTGGATAATATGGTGTGATAGTGAGTCACGCGCCCAACTGTGATGCTAATGAAATTTCCGATAAAATCATCTGCTTGAACGGTCTGTAGGGGTGGAAAAAATTCTTTCGGGTCATCACCCATGAGAGTTCTAAACTGCATTTTCGTCTCTTTGCTATCGGGAAAAAGAAATGTTTTATCATAATTCTAGTTCTGAATAGATCAACATTCCACAATTCCTGAAGGAACAGAACGATCATATTTGCCGAACCGCAAGGCGCGATAAAGCAGTTAGTTAAAATGCCAGCCGTCCACTATTTGGGATATCAGATGCTGACTCAAACATGTCAGCTCATGAGATGTTTGCTCTGATGATAACCTTGGGTATCAGGCCTCGAAACATAAAGTACTCAAATCAGTCAAGAAGTGTGTTACGTAACACTTTCATCTTACTGAAACCAGTATGGCCGTAAAACGACCTCGCGTTCGTCTGAAAAACGATTAATTCGATCCAAAAACCGTCCTGTAACTATGGAACATCTGATAATGGTAACGAAACCTAGGACAGACTGAACCGATTTATTTCTAGGTGTAATTCGTTGTTTATCTCACATTGATCAGAACTGCATTGCTAATCAGAATGTTATTTTAGTTCATCTTCCAAATTTTTAACCAGCTTACATGCGTAATTCCCGTCACATTTGGATTAGGAATTCTCAAAAATCGACGGTGTTGGTTTTATTCGACGACCGAACTGCCTGACGAAAGAGACACTGTGAGTCATCTAACGGCGTGCAAAAGAAAGTTAGATATCTACAACAACTTGTGTGCTGTCAATCAGGGAGTAGACGTTTCAAACAACTCTTAGGGGTGTAGCAGTCATAAACATTATTGCCAAATGACGTAGGGACATCCAAGTGTTTGAGGAAGTCCGATGAAAAGCCAATTCTTAAAAAAATATTCCCTCCTTGAAAGACCAAGCATGCTGTTTCGAGTGATCAGATTACGGAGTTTGGGTTGCAATTTAAGATGTGTTGGGAAGAGATATTGCAATCGCAGTCGAGTCTCTGTGATGTCATAAACATTTTAACGCCAACGTCCTACCTAGAGAAGCGTAAACTTTACATCCTTTGGTTACAGAGGCTTTGGAAACTCCACGTTCGTCACTTCGAAAAGACCTGTGGCATTTGAATTCGTGAAGGCTCGTACACAACAGAGTCAACAAATTAGCGTGGAACCACTTACACGCCGCTTACCAACAAAGCATAGATATCCCTTCGGTGGTTTGTGAAACAGCCCATGAGATAAACTAACAACCATCTACGCTGCCTAGTGTACCCACGTTCACCCCACTGGCGTCGAGTAGCGGTGATGGGAGGTGAGGATTTCATGATGCCTACGTTCGACATGGCACGCAGTAGAGCATGGAGTTAGAGGAAAAGCGCCAAACAGTTTATCTGTGCCACATTTCGATCTCCGGCACGAAAAACAGTTCGGATGTATTCATCTGCAAGTACCGCCCTTCAGGTGCTTCTGCGTATTGAAATGAGTGTGTGGATTTAAACTGTAAAGTATATTGTCGAGATCTGATAGAATTTGATCAGCGTGTTACGGTACAATCGTGACCGCCGGCAAAATGATGCATCTTAAGAGTTTCCTGCCTGTAACGTCTTCTGAATCGTTACTTTGCTAAGCAAATTCATTCGAATTCGCAAATGCGATTACTAGATAATTCGACCATGGGTTGCGTAAATATAGGCTCAAGGCTGATGCCCCTCGTAGAGCAAGTTGGACAGCACTTAAAAAAGCTGTCTGTCAGACCGGAAACTAGCCGCAAGCTCGCAAATACCTTAGCTGAGGTGCCGCATTTGCGTTTGAATCTCATTTGAATTTCAGTTTATCAAGTCGGTTTGAGCCCCGTGAAATTTAGAATGACACCGTACACGAAGATTGTCAAAATCACAGACGTCTAACAATGCAACGACGCACAAAGTTCGAGATAAACTACCGAGACCCACTACTACGAAAAGCAGCCTTGTCACACGGGAAATGTGTTGCACCACATCCCACGCGTATCTAGCGTTGCCGAAGCCTTCTTTGTCAGCTGTCACCTAACTCCAGATGAAAGTGAGCCGTGCCGCTGAAATGCTGATCAGAGTCTTCGGAAATCGTCATAATCAATAAGCAAACTACACCCTTTTCAATCACACACCAGTGCCGCACCACCAAATCAGCGAAGGTTTCAGTCGCCCCATATCAAATCGAGCGCAAAAAATGCTGTGGTGTGAACTGACTCCAGTGGGAGTTCGCTGGACCAAGATAATCACTATCAAATAAGCACAACTATAATGGGTTTGGATAAAACTCAACACAATCTAGGGCAGAATATTCGCATCTATTTCCGCCGATATCTCATGTGCGGAATGGACGTCTAAAGAACAGATCATGTCAACCATACAGAACAAGAATATTCCAGGTCATGTCATCATATCTGCCCGTCTAGTGGGAATTGCTAGCAAGGCATACATCCCCTATTTCATCATCAGTGTGGAAATTTCTTTCTAATTATTCTGATTGGGGTGCAAATTGGGCGTTCTTTGGTTCACTGTTGTTTTTCCCAGTGCTAGGTCAGCTAATTTAGATAACTGTGTTTCCCTAGGCTGCCCATGTATCAAACACAACTTTCCTGGTCTAACTGAACCTCGAAGGGAACTGGTAACTCCAGGCACAGTTTGTATCTCTTGTGAATCTGTACACTTTACATCTGGATTATTTCTGGTTCACTAATTAAGGCTAATTAGGGCCTGGGGAAAGCTGTTTGGACTACCCTAAAACTGCATTCGCGCCAGGATAACATCATTTTGCGATCGTTCGTGGTGTTAGGAAATTTGGTAGGGTGCAAAATCTAAACGCAGTTAAATCTGAGGGTGTGAGCTCTAAGATGCAATGTCGTAAACTATGCTCTGATGTGTATTCTTCAAGAAGAGTTGTTGGTTTTTACAATCGATCATACAGCTATGTCCGCTGTTTGACTTTAGGTGCTTTGTTCACCAAAAGTACTCATACAGCCGCCAGTTTCGGGTTGCTTTACAATCTTCTGGATTTCAAGTTGTGTAAAAAGTTTGAGTTGCAACGTTTCAACAACTTGGACCTTCACAATTTCAGACACCAACAGCATTTACCATTATGAACCATGTTCTTTGCACAAAAAATCAGGATTGTCTCACCGAGTTGTGTTGAACTTGCGCTAAGATTTTCGAAAGGGGAGGTCGCGCTTCCTTGGTGCTCTGCGTAATCAAATCTGCTGTAGGGATCAACACCATTTCTGTTATCAGCGAATGTTTCTGCGGTGGGTAGTTTCCAGTACAGTTCTGGATGAATCAGAGGAGACTGATAGTTGGGCAAAATTAAGTAGTTTTTCATCAAAATGTGCACACCAACAAGGACGATGAACTAAGTGAAGCTATGAAGAGAGCTTTTTCCACCGTAAACTGTCCGAAACCTTTTGCTAATCTACTCCGTTATTGGAGCAACACGTTTAGAAGTCCACTTTGGTGAGTGTTCAACGTAAATTAATTTAGGCACGAACGCGATTGCACGCGAACCAGTACTGGATATCGCTATTGCTGTCTCCGGATTTTCTGATCAATAGCCTAAGAGACAGTCTTTGACATGGTCAAACCTTTCGTGCCTTTGCGACTACGGTTGTGGATGCCAAGAATAAAATCTGAACTCGAGAACGTATATCGAACTCTTCTGTAATAAATTAGTCTTAGACACTAGGCCTAAACTAAGGGATCTCAAAAGCTAGTTGATTTGGTCTGGAGTCACAAAATCTAATGTCCTTCAGAGTAGCTCATGTATATCCGACGGTCCCTCTCACGTACTATTTAAAAATCAAGTCCATCGGTACAAAAGAAGGAACGAGTTGTTCTTTCTTTGGCACATGGGGGGCGAGATGGCTCAAGTAGTTAAGGCGCGAATTTACTGACCGGAAAGTCCGTGATTCGAACCCGACCTCTGCCTCTCGAATTCCCCTGTTTAGATTTGGACAACCTGGCATTTTCTCAGACCTCGTGATTCCTTTGGGTGGTATGGCAGTTAGGCACCGAAAGAATGTCAAAGCTGAACATTTATCTCAGTATTAACTTATTTTCGGCACATACCTTCAGGGTTTGCGTGTGTATATTCATTTCTGTTAATTAGGCTTTCATAACTGCTCGTCGTCTTCGCCAGCTGGGACTAAGTGTATGATCGAAACACCCAGGGAAGTCACCAATAACATTGTGCCTCACTGCAACCCCAAACGAAATTTTCCGACCTAGGTTCCTGGATATCCAATGGTGGCTTATCTGTGTGCCACATTTTTGAGGGATTGATTTGAATAGTTGAACCGAGATGGCTTTCGTTCTCGAAGACAACTCTACAGACTATGTAAACATGTTTTCCACGGTCAATGGCCTGAACCCGAGAAATCACAAAGTCATGCAAAGGGATTCAAATGGAGTGGACACAAACTTTCCTAGTAAGGTAACGGTGTATACTACTGCTGAAACGAACAAGCGTACTTGATCTGATGTCCAGGTTCTGCCCCCACGTCTGATGGAGAGTGAAGTTTACTATGGAAACTACGGAAGAGATGTGCAATATTCGTTTACTATTGTTTGATATTCAGTGAACATTCAAGAATGTCGAAGAGGACGCTTCTGAATGTTCAGTTTTCACAAGCTGTGTGAAAATGAGATGTTTAATTTCGTGTCTAGTTTACTGTCTAATGAGTAAACATTTTAAGACTTAGATAGGGCCACACGTGACGGAGTCTGTTTACTTATTGTTAAGCTAAGGAACAGGTTGGTCAACGCAAGTTTGAATGATCTATATGGACTGGCGGCGCAACGCCAGGTGAAGACGTGAACAAATGTCAACTTAGCAGGTGGAGCGGAAGGAGAAGATCAGAATATTCAACATGATCTCAAGGGATCCTTACTTTCATCAAGTCTTTCAGAGTGCTTTTTTGGATTTGGGATGTTATCCATCGGTCAACTTTGCAAAGCAGCGGGAAATTATCACCGACAGTAGCTGACTGGAATCTGTCGTTTGTGTGTGGTAATGATTTTACTACCGACCTAGGCTCAGTCGTGGGCATACCAACCAGAGTTTACAAATGAACTGAATTTATTACCATAAATAATCGACCACTAATTCCGTCTGATATGTGCTTAAGTGTGGGACGGGTGACCATATAACCACTATGCTCATTGACAGGAAACAACTAGCCACGTCAAAGCAAATGCGCTCTCCTTTCAGAATCCTGACAATCTTGTTGGAGGGACCTAGGAAGACCTCTTCGCTTGAGCATAAAGTTTTGCCGTTCTCGAAAATTCGGAAAAGATACCCCCGGAATTGATCCAGAACAGTAATAACAATGTAAATAACTAATCTAAAAACATCCCGCAGATTTCAGAAACGTTCCGTGTGAGAGCCCATCAGCAGGTGGTTAGTCCACATCATACCACGTGACGCGAATTCCCTGGTTGAAAGAAAGTGGCGACATATATTATGCGCGTGCGATTTTTTCGCACGACTAATCACTCATTTCGGACCCAACTCTTTCGTGTTCAAGCAGAGAAGTATATTCCTGGAGTTCGAATTTCCGTCAATAATGTCGGAAACTTCTGTGTTTATCCTCAGTTTTTGCTAATCAAGCAAACAGCCTTAGTCAAAGTTAACGATGCGGGGTTGTTGTTTTTTTTAGTACATTTTTTGTAAATACATTCTCCTCCAACGAAGTCCTACTTCCAGCTCAATGAAATTTGGTGTTCGAGTAGAAAATAAAGCAGAGGGAAGCGACATCACTAGGCCACAAGACAGTATAAACCAGCATTTGGCCATCGAAGTATTTTCAGGAATGGTTTAATTCCAGAAATTCATTCGGCGTAATTTTCGACCCAGTTTATCTGCTGTTTGTGCCACAAGTAGGCTGATAAACTGAACTCCAAACTGCAAGTGATTTTGTGTGAACTGATCCAGACCACCCTTTCTCTTGGTGTGCATTTTATACCCACAGAGTGTATGTTCATTCTCTTGAACATGCAGCCACTGAGATTATCACTTACAACCCAGGAAGATACATTCGAGGTTGCGAAACATTTTACGCGTATTTGTAGTTGGAATATTTGTGGTTGTGTCGTGGAATATGATTTCGGTGCACAAATATCTAAGACTCGGAACGTGTATGTTTATTTGAGGCACCTATGACAGCAGAGTGCAATATTCCTAAATCTCAAGGGACGCGTGTATCGGACTACATTACAGCCTGTTCGGATGTATGGCTGTGAGATGTGGCTCCATCGAATACTTGAGTTGAAAGGTATTCGGTTCTTTGATGACTACTGTCTAGGGAATAGCGTGCATATGAACCGATGTTGTCGAACGTTCACTGAGGCCAGTGGAGAACGTGCATTCGGTTATACATCGCAGATTTCAATCGAGGGATGCTACCAACGCCGAAAGCTGCAGTGACTTGCTCTTACCGATTCACCATAGTCTCCGGAAAGCATGCTGTTTGTATGTACAATTCACAGTGGCGCAGGTAGACTTGACATAGGGTTGTGAAATCAATTACGAAATGAATGGGTAATGTCCAGAATGTGGTTAGCGTGATGGTTAGAGGCGCGCCAAGGATGACTGTTATTCAGCGGCAATAGATTTATCGTTATCCAGATTAGTTAAATGAGTGTCTGGAGGTGTGTGCTTCTCATGTTGGTGGGTGTGGTAGACTATCACCGAGTCAGTTTTTCAGTCAATTTTGTTTTCCTTCTCACCGTATGACTTTCAGACAACTAGCGGTTTTATGACAGCGAACTGTCAGTGCTGAACACTAAAGTTGTGTCGGCTGTCGGGACATCAAACGACTGTTTTCTCTCAATTAGTTGTATCGAGTACACTTAAGTTTATCACTTTTAAAGTCAAGCGAACGCTTTCGGCAATACATCAGCTAGTCGCCTACATGATGATGACTTACTGCTTAGACAGCTGCGTTGATTCGGTCATCCTTATCGTTTCCCAAGAGACAAATAGTTTATCGAGCTCCGAAGACCACTTTGGTTTTAGGAACCTATGCGAGCGTCTCATGAAACCATGGAAAGTCTCAGACCCACAGCCTACCCGTTAGGACTTTGAACAATGACCGTTTGGCGGCGAGTGGTTGATTGTCAGTGCGATTAACCTGCATTTAGACAACGTATTCCCAGAACTCCTTAAACCACCAGCACTATAGCAGAAGTTCAGAGGAAGAATAAAGTTAACCTAACCGATATACCGGAAATGCGACTGTAAGTCAGCACAAAATCTTGACTGTCCTTACAGTGAAGCCGAACATGGGGACAGGGATTCATAGCCACAACAAACCGGATCGTTTCCGACTTAAATGCAGTTTCATTTGATACGTTCATAGTTCTACCCAATGTAACTTTTTGGAGATGAAGATTCGTTCATTGCATGGTGTTAACCTCTGCAATTCAGCTTAGTGCGTTTCAAACTCTCAACACTTGTACAGCCCAGTGGATCGTAATACAGCTTTCCTATTGGTCCATTTCTATATGTAAACGATTCACCCATCCAGTAATATAGACTTCCAAACTTTCTGAATTCTTACATGTTTGTTGGCACGAAGTAGCCAAATGGCTCGTAGATATTTTGGACCTGCCAGAACAGTTCTCGCACAACACTATTTGAAGAGCTCTTATAAACAGTTATCCTACCTAGAACATGCTGATCCAATGGCTTGCAACAAAATTTGCAGGCTCGGTGAAGAAATTCGAATTTGTGAAAGCCTAAAATCAGCTGATTTCATATTGGATGTCCTCTGAGAATCACACTCTGATTATTATCAATCAGAGAAAACGGATCAGTATATCTAGGACCTATGAACCCGAATTCGGCGAACTAATGAGAAATGTATGAACTTTTATCGAAAGAATCCACATAGCCGGGCTCCAAGTTTGATACTACTACTGTCTGGTGAGTAGCTAGATGAATATGACCAACTCAACAGGTGAAACACATCTTTCAACTCCAAGCTTCTTTTCAATGTCGAATGATATGACTTTTTCTTTTTTTATGAAGAGTGGATTATTTACCATCCAGTGTTCAAAAAGAAAGAACAAGTCTTTAGTTGCCTACGGTTCATAATGCCACTTGAACGCACGGCAGACCTACTTAGTTAATGTTTCAATTTCTGTCTGCCATTTACAACGCATCCAGACTATGATTCGCCGCTTATATCTGGAGGAATCCTTGAGTAGATAATAGAAAAACTGAGAGTGTATGTTCATTGCGGTACAGCATCAGTCCGTATAGCTTGATAGATCCGCACTTCGGATACACTCGCTGAATACACTCAATTGTTGGAAAATGCACTGTTGTCAAATGACTACCCAGACTGCATTTTCGTAAATCGGCTGGATCCGAGTGATGAAGTAAAAGTACCAAGATCAGTACAGAAGAGGATTATTTGTATTCATGCTCGTTGAACCATTGATCAGACTGCCACGCTGAGTGGATGTAAAGGGGATTCGCTCCACGCGACTTTCAACGCAGTTGTCGGCAAATGATTGCGTTCGTCAAGTCCCCTACGGTTGCGGTGTCACTTGTAGCGGTAGACCTGACAGGAGGTTTAAAATGTGAGCAGATGAGTCTGTGACGAAAAAAACCCTGCACCGTATTAGCTACCATAACACAATGCTGATCGAATCCAGGGTCAAATCATCTATGGCTAGGCCTCCACGCAACACAGATTACAGGGTTGAACATAAATAAGTGACCCGGTTTAGTATTCCGTCGGTATCTCATTAGTACAAAGTCTTCATGCATCCAATAAGCCGAATACTTTTCAACCAGATAAATGGTTTGCTTCATGGTAGATTAATTCTTAAGAATCAGTGCCTGCCTGTGGTGTTCAAAATAAGCTAGGGTCTATTGTGCTAACTGCATCACAGCACCTGTCTAGCTAACAAACGTGTAGCGTGAAAGAAGTCATGCAGCCATCTAATTTTATCAATCTTTTTGAAGATGATATTCAGCTGGCCAGAAAAAACCTATTTTCCAGCACCAGACCGTTGCGGAATTGCCAGAGGGAAATAAAACAAGATGCGGGGAGTCCTGTGTAACTTGCAGACAGTAATATCAGACAAGGACAGCCCAAGCACCAAAAACACGCAAATATTCGATAATGATTCGTGGATGGCCTGAGGCGTTCCTTACGTATTGACAGTGCCATGCGGCTACTCAGTAGGGCGAAATAGAAATCAACTCCTTGATACAAGTCCAAGCATGAGGCAGGCAGTCACAGTTGTTCCAGTTCACGCTGACTGGTCATTTCAGTCTTATCCTTTGTGCTTAGAGAGATACGAGGATCACTGCATGGCCACCTTGATTCTATTTAGCAGACATGTAATTTCTGGACCGTAAATGATGCGAGCTGCATTCCACTGCTTATCTAATGTGATCTGACACGTTTTGTGGTGGAAGAGAGCGGACGAAATGTACTCAGCATTCAGCCTTGTAGTTCCAATTAACTTGTTCAAAATTCAGAATCCATTTGGGTTTCTTTGCGTGCTGCAATACATAGCTAGCTGCAATTCAGAGTGGTCGGGTCGTAATCCCGTGATTCCCATGAAAGACACTAGGGACCAATTGACCTCATTCTTGATCAAAATGGGTCGTTGTTCTTGTTAGCTGTCGAAGGCTTGGAGGTTTCAGTGCTTAAAAACATCTTGCTTCATTATGCATATGTCATCGTTGCTAAATGGATTCTGTATATAATAGACAAAAGACTTGGAGGTATGTGGTTCGAACCCAACCGCAGCAACTCGATCCATTTCATAAAGTAGTAGGTTGCGATCACTAGTCTTCAATGGTTAGAACTCGAGCCATTTAGTTTGGGAGATGGAATAAGGTCATGTAAATGGTAGAAACTGCCTGCTATTTCACCAATGAATTGAATGGTGCAAGCGCAAGAAAATAATCGATTTCTTTTATAAACTAATATTTCAAGTAGAACATAAGGTAGAGGGAAACTCGGGGCTGCGCCTAGCTGATGAGCCCCAAGAAGGGCGAAACCGGTCGTGGACTGTCGGAGATTTTTCAGCAACCTTGTGCTTAGTTCCCTTTACGAAGATCTCATAGTCCAATTTAGATGGACATTGTGATTCGACTCCTCGGTTCCGTTTTACACTACACACCCATAGGCCTGTCCCGTGAAATTACACTGAGAGCAACGTCGTTTATGACCACTGGGTATCCGCTCCTTACAGACACTTTGAACGGAGATGTGTAGCCACAGGACTACGTGTTGCTCGATACTCGAGTGATGAGTGTCAACTTCCGAAAACACTTATTTATTTGTTATTACCTATTAATATTGCC